ATGTCCAGAGACATCCTTGTTTGACACAGTTGGGTGGGGGTCCACTGGGTATGGAGGTATAGTACTTGCTGATGGATGCCTTAAGACACAAAAGACAGCCCCATGTGACAGAGGATTGTCTGCTATGAAATGTCAAAAATGCTGAGGATGAAACCCGCTGACCTGAAGGAATAAACTGCCTGTATAGGACCATCTGTGGCTGTAACCATCTACATCTGCAGGTGTACCTTTACGTGCCTCTCTGTGTTGTTTCTCTGTGCAGAGACCCAGGCTGAAAAAGGTCAGTGAGAATGCTCTGAAACTGACGGGCTATCTCTGTGTGTGGAAGTAACCAGGCAGATGGGCTGATTGAATTGAACGGAAATGAGGGGTCTCCTGTAGGACTGTGTCAGCAAGGAAGTGGGATTTCTAACATATTGTTATTCAGTCACTAAGTTGTGTCCAACTCTTTGTGACCCCATGAAATACAGAATGCCAGGCTTCCCTGTCTTTCACTATCTCATGGAGTTTTCTCGAACTCATGTCCATTGAGTCAGTGATGCCATCCAGCCATCTTTTTCTCTGTCAACCCCTTCTCCTCCTGCCCACAGTCTTTCCCAGCATCAGGGTCTCTTCCAGTGAGTTGGCTCTTCACATCAAATGGCCAAAGTATAGGAGCTTCAGCTTCAACATCAGTCCTTCCAATGAATATTCAGGGTTGATTTCCTTTAGAATTTACTGGCTTGATCTGTTTGCACTCCAAGGCACTGTCAAGAGTCTTCTTCAGCACCACAATTTGAAAGCATCAGTTCTTTGGCACTCAGCCTTCTTTATGGTCCACCATAAAGGCATCACTTAATTTCACCAAGAATCATTGTTACCTTATGTCTCAAAAGGAAATAAAATTGTTATTATTATTTCAGTCTTTGGTTTCTGGGAAAAGGAACATAAAGGTGTCCAAAAGTCAGTAAGATATTAATTGACTTTATCATTGTACATGATAGTGAATCTGCAAAAAGTTTGTTTGAATGGCTTACTGGGAAGCCATCCATCATAAAGAGGAGCAGGAGCTATAAATAACCAGATTTCTTAGAATTTACAAGATTTTAAATGAATTTTATGTGGATGACTGTTGCCAAAATCCTGGCCTCTGTTCTCCAGTGCTGAAGAGAAATACAGAGACAGAGTTTTGGGTGAAGTAGAAGAGTAGCTTTTATTGCTTTGCAGGCAAAGGGGGGCACAGTGGGCTCATGCCCTGAAGACCATATGACCCACCCTGGTGGAGTTGGTGAGGAGTTTTATGGTGTTCAAGTAATGGGGCCTGATCAGCTCATGGACAGTTCTTGGATTGGTTGGCATCAAGGTGAAGTTTCATGCATCATCAACCTTCTAGTTTCAACCAGTTGAGGGTCTCTGTTCTTGTGGTCAGCAGGTTTCATCGGGGGGAGGGGGTACACTTCCTGTAAAAACAACTTAGGAATGTGTATCAGACCTTTATCTGTATCTTGCAGGAAACTGGAAGTTTGGTGATTTTGTTCTGTTGCAGAATTATAGTTGAAATTTTTACCAGTTCTTTATCCCAACAGCTGTTCTTTGTTTCTGCATCTTCACATTTCCCAATCATTAATTAACTCGAGTCAGCATTTTACTTCAGAAGATAAGGACACAGGGGCTTGACATGGCTTCATGACCAGATCTGTAATTGAATGACTTTTACATTTAAAATATACTTTCCCACCCACTTGCCCCTCTTAGCTGTTTAGGTAGCAGAACCTTTGCTGATTTCTCTTTATACCCCTATCCAACACTTAGAATCCATTAAACCATTTCATTTTGATTGAATACATGTACATCAGTTGTTTCTAAAATAATTTTAAAGGAATGAATTCTATATACAAAAATATATTATGCATTTTAATTCACAACATTTAAAAGGCAGAATAAGATATTACTTAGAACTTAAAATAATTACTTCCTTTACTATAGTAAACACAGTCACCGTCCCTGTGCATATGAATGCAATTGACTTTGCATCTGAATGCACTGAAATATGGAGCTTCCCAGGTGGCGCTAATGGTAAAGAATCTGCCTGCTGATGCAGGAGACAGGAGAGATTTGGTTCCATGTCTGGATCAAGAAGATCCGGTGGAGGAGAGCATGCAAACCCACTCCAGTATTCTTGCCTGGGGCATCCCATGGACAGAGGAGTCTGGTGGGCTACAGTCTGTAGGATTGCAAAGAGTCGGATGCGACTGAAGCTACTTAGGACAAACGCACATGCTGAAATATAATCAAAAGGCAAATATATCTTAGAAGCCCTCTCCCAACCTTTAAAATATTACTGTTATCCTGGAGTAATCTTGATATTTACACATGATGAACTTGTGCATTTAACTAGCCAAAAGCATTATGTATGAAAATTGTATAAGTGATTAAGAGTGTTTACAGTTCAGAAGCCTCTAAATTTAGTAAATTCTTTCAAATAAGGTCACTAGGAGCAGAAATATTTGTCCCTCTTTCTGAACGTCAATTCCACATCTCCCCTGGCTTACCTCTTAGAACCTTAAGTATTAACTCAAGCAGGGTTCAGAAACTTGCTCATAGATTCCAGGTGGCAGATACAAGTGCATAAAACCTTCAAAGTCTTTCTTTAGCCCATCCTTGCCCTGAAGGATGAACCATCTTGGGGAGGATGCTTAAATGAGTGGGAAATAAAACCTGCCTGTGTGAACGTCCCCAGAAGGTTGCAGAGCTCTCCCCTCCCAACCTTGACCCCCTGGGTCACTGACCCTAAGTGGATTTCCTTGGCTTCATGCCGAGGAACCAGCGCTTGTTGGTCTCTGACTTACAATCAATGGAAAATCAGATGAGTTTCTCTTTGAACCTTACCCTCAGTACAATTTCCCAAGCTCCAGGATTGTATTGATCCCACACTAAACCCTCAAACGGAAGATGTAGGGTCATGGCTATAGTTAGACTATACTACTCACTACCGTATACTTTATCACTGACATCTGTTACTTTCTATTTTAGAAATCACTAGTATAAACCAAAATCTGTATAGCTGGCTGCCTGCTTCAAGGAAACAGCGCCCCCCCCCCCCACCATAAACAGGGGGTGTGTTCCACTTGAGAGAGAGGATCAGAGTAAACAGGAAAGAATGCCAGTGAATGTTTCATGTAACCTATCACTTTTCAGCCCAGAGAGGAGAACTGAGGTAAACAAAACGGGCCTCCCAAAAGTTTCTCAAAGTGTTTTCCTTCCAGGAGACAGCATCTGTTTCTCATAGCTGTTCTTGAACCCTCTGTGGCTATTTCTGTTCTCATCATATCACATCTTATTGATCCATGGTCATCCTATGGACAAATGTACCAAGCTACTCTTGGAAATGATAAGGTGCATTCACCACCATATTTTTTTTGCTTACCTTTAAAGGTTTTCATATTTTACGTGCCTAGGAGTCACATTTTTTTAATATTTCTAAAATTCAAATGCTTCGTGTATATATAGAGCTTTCTAAAAGATGTAAGTAGGCAAATATTGCCTTTGAAAAGTGAGAATGAAGGTGAGAAGGAAGTGGCCAGTAACTTACAAAGATGGATTCCTTGTAACTTACAAAAGTGGGTAGCTGTAACTCACAGAGGCGGAGGAGTTGTAACTTACAGAGGTGGGGAGTTGAAAGCATTTATATCATCAAACTTATATGCTTATGCTCATTGAAATCGGAAGCACTGTCCAAGAGTCGACTGCTTTCAAATGCAACACATACTGCTCACACAGGGACCTTGAAAGAATCCTTTACACTGTAACTTTACCCTCTAGATGAGGCTTTATAGCCTCAGATACTATAGACCTCGTATTTCATGATTTCAGGGAAATATCATGCATATCTTTTAAAAGATAATGGATGAATAAGTTAGTCACTACACACTCTGGGTGTTAGTTTTCTTTAAGTTAGTGACTTTTGTACATCAAATGCATATTTTAAATAATGGATGCGTGTGCGCATTTCCCTGAAAACTGCAAGCCAAAGGCACAGCATTTCAGAGAAACACTTGGGGCCAGAAAAGGATATGGTGGCAAAGATTGAGGGGCATTGAGGGAAGAGCCACAGAAAAGGAAGGTTTGTTTCTGGGCTGATGACTCAAGGCCACTGAGCGGCAGGCTTGGTTCTGTCCATGGGCTATGGGGCCCTGGTTTCCTTCCACATCTGTCTGACCCCTACATCTGGGGTACATACAGCTTTCTCTTTCCAAATGTCCCGGTCATGTTTCCCACTTTCTCAAGCTCTCAATCAAGTAAACAGCAAACACACTGAATGAAGAAGAGAGTGATGATGAAACCGCATCCATCCTGAGATCATTTGCAAAGATGAACATTACCCCATCATCCCCTTTCAATGTCAAGGCATGGATGTGTGAACCTAGGCCACCTACCCCCACCCCCCACCATTTGTCATTCAGTTGCTAAGTCGTGTCCGACTCTTTGTGACCCTGCAGCACATCAGGCTGCCCTGTCCTCCGCTGTCTCCTGGAGTTGGCTCAAACGCATGTCCATTGAGTCAGTGATGCCATCCAAACATCTCATCCCCTGTCACTCCCTTCAGTCTTTCCCAGCTTCAGGGTCTTTTCCAGTGAGTCAGCTCTTTGCATCAGGTGGACGAAGTAGTGGAGCTTAACTGCCTACTGTGGACCCTTGCACTAACCTGCAAAGGCCATGTGGGCACACCTGTCACCAAGGGGTCTTTCTCTGCCACTAACTACACCAGCTCCTTGAACTCACAGTGCTGCTGGACAGAGAGAGAGAGAATGTGTGCATGTGTGTGTTCGTGCGCTCAGTCCTATCTGAGACTGCGACCCCAGGGACTGTAGTCCACCAGGCTCCTCTGTCCATGGGATTTCCCAGGCGAGAATACTGGAGTGGGTTGCAATTTCCTCCTCCAGGGGATCTTCCAGACCCAGGGACCACAGCCCAGTCTCTTCCATCTCCTGCACTGGCAGGCAGGAGGAGGATGTGGGTACCTGAAACAGAGTGGATGCAAGGCAGCAGGTGAGATGAGGCCGATGTAGATGCAGCACCTCTCCCCCAGCTCCGGCCAATGGCCGCCCAGCACAGACGGGGGCTGAGTGCCGCAGCTGTTGCCAGTTGCTTCCCGGCTCAGGGAGGTTACTGCCGGGAACAGGTAACCCGGGCCCGTGGCCTCCCAAGAGTCCCTGCGGTCACTGTTCTGCCAGCGGGTGGCTCCTGCAGTGGTTCCCTGGGGGGCCCGGTTCTTTCTGCTGCCGCCCACATTCAACGGGCGCGTCCCGGGCATCCTCTCCTGCCCACCTCCTTGCGGGACCCGCACTTGCTGCCCTGGAAGCTCCAGGCCACACACGTTCCTCTTTGCCTTCCCGGCGCCCACAGTCAGTCGGCTTCCAGGACCAGGCCCACCCCACGGGAGACCCCCAGAGAGCTCAAAGGAGAAGATTTCTTGCTGGAGGGGCCTGTGGATGGGCTGGACGTGAACTTGGGGCCCCTTGGAGGTCCTCTCCGGGGAAAAGACTTGAGAGAGCAGCACTGGTCTCCGAAGGCATCCAGAATGCCCTGAGCTGTGAGGAGGAGCAGCAGGCCCGAGGATGCAAGTGAATATAGAGGGTTTTCTTACTTGGGGTTGTGTGTTTGTCTTGGCCTTTCTGTCTACTGGCTGCTCGGAGTGCAGGCAGTGGACTGCACCCTGGGGCTTTGTGCAGAGCAGTGTCCAAAGCGGGTAGCCCAGGAGCCCTCACTCGAACTTCTGGGACTCCAGAGTGAGAGCCTTGGCCCCAGATTGTGCTGGGAGGGTGTCTTTTGTTAGAAATTTTCCTGGGTTTGGCATGAGAATGGCTGCTAAGCTGTGGATGGGCTTCAGATTGCTGTCTTGGGAAGATGGTTTGTCTAGCTGCTCTTGGGGCCCACCTAGGGCATCCGGGGTGGGGTCCCCATGGAGGGGGCGCTGTGTGCATGTGCCAGGTCGGGGCAGAGCTCTAGTGCCCTCCCTTTTAGCTACCTGGGCAGATAAAAGTGACCCAGTCTGTGGTTCGCCCGGACTAGGAGTCTGTGGGCTTTGGGGAGCCCGGCACTGGGGTCTGGAGGAAGAGGAGGCTGTGGACAGGCCACGGAGGGTGACCGGAACTGACAGAAGCGGGGTATCAGGTGTGCTCCCATGAGGGGCCTCTATGGTCTGACTCTCATTGTTTCCATTAAAAATATATTTATTTATTTATTTATTTGGCTGTGTCAGTCTTAGTTCCTGCACACAGGATCTTCATTGTTTTATTATTAATAAAGAAAGAAAAGTAAAAAGACATACAGTGCAGGAAGTATATGTGGGCAGCAGCAGCTTGAGGCCTCTGCCCTGGAAGGTTAATTAACAATCCCAGCCTTGTCAATTCCATCTGTTGGTAATTCCAGAGTAATGAGAGGAGGCGGCTGCGAAACACCTGGCCCCAGAATAGCTGGGGACCATGGAGGTTTCAGTTACTTCCCGTGGAAGATGGAGAGGTTTGATAAGATTTCAAAGGTATCTTCTGGAATAGAGCTCTCTGTTTCTTATGACACCTTGCATTGCAGTGACATGGTGTGTCATATCGTGTGTCTAAATGTTTTCAGTCACTTTAATAAAGTTTGTAATCACTAGTGTATTATGTTTTCACTCACTGTAAGTGAATGACATTTGTATAATTACTAGGTAGTGGATTTGCCAAGTTTTTTTTTTTTTTCTTGTTCTTTCTTTCTCTGAAAACCTAATGTTTTCTGAGTTAGGTCTCTGGGATGTAAATAGCCCCACGTGGTTGGGATGCAGTCTAGATTCCTTTACACAAGAGCTGGACACAGTATTTTGGACAATTGTTTTAATTTCTTTGGGTAAATACCTAGGAATGAAATAGGTCGGTCTTATGATAAGCTTATGGGGGCTTCCCATGTGATACTAGTGGTAAAGAATCCTCTTGCCAGTGCAGGAGACACGGGTTTCACCCCTGGGTTGGGAACGTCACCTGGAGAAGGAAATTGCAACATAGTCCAGTATTCTATTGCCTGGAAAATCCTGTGGATAGAGAAGCCTGGTGGGCTACAGCCCATGGGGTTTCAAAGAGTTGAACATGTCTGAACATCTGAACACAGTATTAATGGTTTATGCTTTGTTGAAGTGGCCCAAACACTTCCTATGGGGTGTAATTTTTTTACATTCCTATCAACAGTTGTGAATTCTAGCTGTTTCACACCTTTGTAGTCCATATATTTGCTCTTTAATTTTGGTCACTCTAATGAGTATGTTATGCAGTATTACTTTCTTGTGTTTTAATTAGTATTTTTTATGTTAGGATCTTTGCATGTGCTCACTGGTCATTCATGTATCTTCCTTTGTGAAGTCTCTCTTAAAATCTTGTTATGCTGATATATGTTACAGATAACTTCTCACAGATTCATTTTCTTTATGGTGTATTTTGAACAACAAACATTTTCAATCTTGATAAAATCCAATCTATCAATATATTTTATGATTTTATGTTTTTTTTCCATTTATTTTTATTAGTTGGAGGCTAATTACTTTACAATATTGTAGTGGTTTTTGCCATACATTGACATGAATCAGCCATGGATTTACATGTGTTCCCCATCCTGATCACAAAATGTAAGAAATTTTTGCATGTTTTCAATCACAAATATTCTTCCTGATAACTTTGGAAACTAATAGTTCAGTTCTTTCAGCCTATGATTCATTTTGAGTTGATTTTCTTATGTGATATGAAGTAAGCTTTTAAATTTGTCTTTTTGAATATGGATATCCAATTGTTAGAGCACCATTTATTGAAGAGACTATAATTCTTATAAAGCTGAACTATTGTGTTTGGTTCTAGCTAAGGGTTGATGCTCATTTTTAAACTTGAGATACTCAGCTGATCCAGCATTTGTTAAAAAGACTTCATTGTCCTCATTGTACTGACTTAGCACAATTGCTGAAAATCAATTTCTGATATATGTCAGGGACTATTCCTGTACTCTATTTTGTTCCATTGATCTGTTTCTCTTTTTGCTGTATTGATTATTGTAGTTACACAGTAAGTCTTAAGATCATGTAGAGTAGGTACTTCAAATGTGGGTGTTTTTCTTTTCTTTTTCTGAGCTGTTTATGATGGGCCTTTGGCATTTCATAGAATCATTTAGAATCAGCTTATCAACTTCTGTAAAAATTCCCCTGATTTTGGTTGGGATTGCATTGAATCTACAAATTTGGGAAGAATTTCCATATAAGCAATAATCTTCCAATGCATGAATGCATAATCTCTCTGCATGCATTTCAGTCTTCTTTAATTTCTCCCATAAAATGTTAAGTTGTTAGTAGATACATCACTTACTACTCTTAGTGTTTTGCTGCTATTATAAATGTGATTTTTTAAAAATAATTTCATCTTATTTGCTGATAATGCATAAGAATGCAACTAATTTTTCATTTAGTGTTAACCTTGTTTCCTATGACTTTCCTCATTTCTTTATTTCTAGTAGCTGTTTTGAAGACCCTCTGAGATTTATTTTTAGTGGGAACAATGCTCTCTGTGCAGAGGGCCAGTTCTACTTCCTCCCTTTGGCCTTCTCTTTTGCAGGCTGCTTTGAAATGGCTGGTACCTTCAGCTCAGCGCTGCAGAGGTGATGAATCACCATCTTTGCCTTGGTTCTGACCACAAGAGGGGAAGTGATGACCATTATAGATGCTGTTACTTGTGCAGGTCACTGGTTATCAGTGATTATAAGAGGATTGCCTCTTGACTGCAGTCTGCCCTTCCTTCCCTGCTCTGTGAGGGCAGAGCTCTACCTGGGCAGTGCTCACTTGCCAGCTGGCACCGGGCTAAGCCACCCCAGTTGCTGTGGGGGCCTTATTGGAAGAAAGGACTGTCCCTGCTGCTCCCATGTGCCCTTACTTTCCTGCTTCTTTGTCAAGCGACCGTCATGCTGTACAGAATGTCAGAGGGCATTGTCCTCTGTCTACAGAGCTTTGCTGACTCCTGGGGTGCCTTGCCAGGTTCACCAGCACACGCACATTCCTGGTTGACCTTGGCAAACATTTCCACTGTCCAGTTGGCCACCGGACACTCCCTCTCCAACAAGTTCAGAATCTCAGCTAGTAGAAGGGGTCTTTTATTGTGTTTTCCATTCCTGGGCACTCTAGTTGTTCAGTTACTAAGTCATGCCCAACTCTTGGTGACCCATGGACTACAGCATGCTAGGCTCCTCTATCCTCCGCTGTCTCCCAGAGTTGCTCAAACTCATGTCCATTGACTTGGTGGTGCTGTCTAGCCTTCTCATCCTCTGCTGCCCCCTTCTCTTTTTACCTTCAATTTTCCTAGCATCAGGGTTTTTCCCAGTGAGTTGGCTCTTCACATCGGATGGCCGTAGTATTGGAGTTTCAGCTTCAGCACACTTCCAGTGAACATTCAGAGTTGATTTCCTTTAGGGTTGACTGGTTTGATCTTCCTGAAGTCCAAGGGACTCTGGGGAGTCTTCTTCAGCACCACAGTTCAAAAGCATCAGTTATTCGGTGCTGACCCTTTTTTATGGTCCAACTGTCACATCCATACATGACTACTGGAAAAACTATTGCTTTGGATATATGGACTTTTGTCAGCAAAGTGATGTCTCTACTTGTTAATACGCTTTGTAGGTTTGTCATAGCTAGTACTACCCTCATCTTAAAGATAACAGCTACTCACCATTTCTCCATTGTTGCAGTTCTTTTTTACCTCTTTGTGGTTAATCTTGTCTGCTAATCATTTAACCTTTTTAATCTCAAAGATTGAGTAAGGTGAGATGTTGAACACTTATCATGCAGGTGATGATTACTAAAGCCTCACATTTATTCATGGAAGTATGAAAGTGGAGTATATAAATATTCAACCAAATTGAGATTTTCTTCCTTCCTAATGCAAAATAATGCTCATCCAAGCATAGTTTACAAGAAAAAAAGTGCTTGGAGATTTCTCTTTATATTAAATTTTTCCCCTTCAAATTACTGGTACATTGTCTGTCTCCTGACTGAAACTTAACTAACATACTGATTGCACATTTTTTTTCATATTAATAAATGTCCTTTATCAGTTTGAGAGAGTTTTATAGTGTTACTGGTTTGCTGAGGGTTTTATTGTGAATTAGAACTTAATTTGTCAGATTATTTTTGTGCATCAACTGAATGGTGGCCTTTCTTCTATTAATATGGGCAATGTGATTAGTTTGCTAAATGTTAATCCATCCTTTTCATTCCATAAAGTACACTTGGTTATAAGATTTTATATATTTATATATATTATATATATAATAGATATAAATATATATAAATAATATATCTATTATATAATACCCTTTAACATATTGTTAGATTTGACATAATATCTTATTAAGGATTTATATGTATATATGCAAGTGATTTTGGTTTGTAATTTCCTTTAATGGTAAACTTTTCCAGGTTTTGGTGTAAGAGTAATTTTAAAAGCCCAAGTAAAACAGTATTCCTCATCCTCTGTTTCTGAAGCAGTTTATGTACTTTTGGTGTTATTCCTTGACAAAATTCAACAGAGAAACATCTGTGCTTGGAGTTTTCTTTGGTAAATCTTTAAAATAAAGAGAATGTATTTTCTAGATTTATGACTTTTCAGATTTTCCATTTCTTCTGGTGTAAATTTTAGTAAAATATTTTCTATGGTATCCACTTAATTTCTTATGAAATTTGTTGATTCAAAGTTGAAATCACATTATTTTAAATCCTCTTAATATCAGTATAGTCTGTGGTGATAAATTGTTTTTCATTTTTGGCATTGATCTGTATTTTCTATTTTTCTTTCTATTTAAATTTTTATCAGTTTTCTGGATTTTTTTTTTCAGAAACCAAACTTTGTCTTTATTATAGCCCCAATTTTTCCCTATGTATACCTACTTTGGGCTTATTCTGCCCTTTTCCTAGCGATTTATGTAA